CATATTTGGACTGTTCAAAATTTCAGGCTACTTGATTCACGCACACAGTAACCGTTGAAGAGTTATGACTACATTATTACGTAATGGTTTTTTACATTAGGGTACCTTAGTGACTAGAATGTCAAACTTATGTTGCCGAAAATATAAGCAAACACTTATTTTTATGCGGCCGCTTGGTAAATGTACATTTGCCTTCAACTCAGTCTACTCAGTCCAATAAAATAATATAATGGGGCTATAACTCTCTCAGAAATTACCGAACAGAACGCAGACTAGTTGCATTTGGATATATTTGTACCTCAGTAATTTTGTTCATCATTGATCAACAGGGTCTTTAAACCTACTCAAAATGTAATATTTTAACCGTTGCACCAGAGAGCATCCGCCGCTGAAATTAACCTCTCTCCAGTCCTCGCACCGTCATGAGATTCCCCTTCTATAAAATTGTCGATGCAATACCGAGGCTGTACAACCACAAAAGGACGGTATTTTCGCGGAACTGTATAAGTTTTGTCTCGAAACTCTGGTGCCCTGGCTCCATAGGATTATCGAGCATGTGCGGAGATTTGAAGTAGTTCTCACTGACTGGGGTCCGGGAATCCCGGTGTCTGTCTTGAAAAAAAGGAAATAATACAAAATACGAGAATTACCACAGCAACAGCCCAATTTACATTGCTGCAGTAGTTTTCACTATTGTCCTAAGACGCTTCAATTCCGTAAGCGACTTAAGGACGTGGCCAAAGCCGGATTCCGAGGTAGGTGCGGATGCGTGGACTAAATATGCACGTTGAGGTGCATTCTGGAATCCCGCCATGACTACCAGCAGCCAACAGTCATCTGCTTTGTTGACTTCGCCATTGCATCCGCTTCCGTCCATCCTGAGTCCTTGTGATGAGATTTAGAGCCATAAGATGCACTGGTCAACATAATTGTCATAATCGAAGCTTACTATCGCCCCGCCACTGCACGAGTTCTTGTTAATAACAATTTATTCCAAACATTTTATATGCTGTCGCCCATTCGGTTAAACTACGCCATTGACTACATTTTCGGAAGGACCCTACACGCTTTTGGTGATATGTAGTTAGCAT